GTTTTCCGGTGATAGCCGGAAAACAGAACCCCCTATTTTTTTTAATTTATAAATGCATATAAATGCCAGACAACAAGTTTACATTAACTTATATTAAGTTAGTAATAGAACTAGGCATTAAAAACACAATAAAATGTAAAATACATACACAGTACATTCATTACTTACCTTAAAATATTTGTAGTCTTATTAATGTAGGGCGAGAGGTGAGTAATACTTATTTGTAGAAAGTCAGGTGTAGGTACACTGGCTCCCCATCCCAAACTTAATATATGATATTTAAAGCAGCCCAGAGAGATAAAATACACATACAGTACAATCATTATTTACCTTAAAATATGTGTAGTCTTAATGTTGGATGAGAGGTGAGTAGCATTTATTTGCAGGAAGTGCGTGTAGGTAGCCGGTAGGTGTAGCCTAGAATACACCTACCAGCTACCTATACTGCGGCCCAGAGCCATATTATTACCATCGACATACCTTGTTTCTAACAACTACCTTTAGATGCCATCATAAACAAAGGAAGAAGTAATGAATAATTCATGCTGAGAATTGTAAACAAAAGGGGAGTGACTAGGCCAAGCGCAGATTCATACACGTTTTCTTTGGTACTGGAACAGAGAAAACGTAATTTTTCCCTCAACCCGGCATATAAATATAGCATGTTTATATGCTATGTAACATGTTTCTTATATAATTTTTAAGAAAATATCATAGATCGATTAATGAAAATGTCTATATTGACGTAAAATAAGACATTTAATGTGCCCAAGAGTGATTATTATTATGTACTACATACTCTCCTCACTTAACAACGGAGACAGGGATCTAAGACCCCATCGGTAAATGAATTCATCTCTAAACGAGGAGCATACTATAATGGTAGTGGATCTGTGTCAACCATCTTTGATATTGTTTTAATGTCACCTTTACACCATTTATAACATTTCTGGTATATTTTTAAATATTTATACAGCAGTGTACTGTACGTATATGGTAATAAGCAGAATTGAGGAAATCGGCTCTAAAATACAGTGGTCCCTCGTTTTTCGTAATTAATCCGTTCCTGGAGCCGTTACTATAAACGAAATTTACGATTTACGAATCAATTTTCCCCATAAGAAATAATGTAAATACAATTAATCCGTTCCTGACACCCAGAAGTATTAAAACAAAAAAGTTTTTAACATGAAATATACATGTAGTACATAAACAATACAATGGGAAATGATGAATGAAACATTAACAGCATAACACTTACCTTTATTGGAGATTCTTCTTAGTGTATGGGAGACTGGAGGAGGAGAGTGGATTGTTTATAGTTTGGAAGGGGAATCCCCTTCCATCAACACCTCAGGTACCATTTGCTTTTCTGGGGTTGCTTCTCTTCTCTGTTTCTTAATGCCACTAGGACCACCTTGAGTCACTGGAGTCCTGTCTCACAAAATAACTGTGGAGAGAGCTCGGTTTCTGGCGTCTCTTTAACACTTCCCTAAAATGGCCCAAGACTTTGTCACTGTACATGTTGCCAACCTGGCTTGCAACAACCTTGTTTAGGGTGATGTTTCTCCATAAAGCTTTCCATCTTACCCCACATAGTAAAAATCTCTTTAATTTCTGAAGAAGGCACCTTCTTCTATCTCTCTTCCTCCTCCTCTGCAGCAAGATTCTGAGCTGCGATGTGTTGCTCTTCCTGCTGAAGCTCTTGCAGCTCCTCAGTGGTGAGCTCTTCATTGTGGTCTTCCACCAATTCTTCCACATCCTCCAAACTCACATCCAACCCCATGGAACTCCCCAGTGCCACAATTGATTTTACAACAGACATAGGCTCATTAGGGTCAGTCCCAAATCCTTCAAAAGCCCTCTTGTCGACACAATCTGGCCACAATTTTCTCCAGGCAGAGTTCAAAGTGACTCACGAAATCGTAATGACACGATTGCAAACAAACCATACCCCGGCCGGGATTGAACCCGCGGTCAGAGAGTTTTGAGACTCTCTGACAGCGGGTTCAATCCTGGCCGGGGTATGGAGAGTTCAAAGTCCTGGTAGTCACTCCCTCCCAAGCCATACCTATAAGGGTTATGCAGTGGAGGATGCTGAAGTGTTCTCTCCAAAATTCCCTTAGGGTCAAGTGAGTGTCTGTGGTCACAGTCAAGCACCTGTGAAACATTGCTTTTGTGTAGAGTTTTTTAAAGTTTGCAATAACCTGCTGGTCCAAGGGTTGGAGGAGAGGAGTGGTATTCAGGGGCAAGAACTTTACTGTGATGAACCCAAACTCCTCGAAAATTAGGTCATTCAAGTTTGGAGGATGAGCAGGTGCATTGTCCATTACTAGCACGCACTTGAGATCCAATTTCTTTTCCAGGAGATACTCCTTCACACTAGGGCCAAACACTTCATTGAACCACTCGACGAAAATTTCCCTCGTGACCCATGCCTTTACTATTAGATTTCCAAAACACACACAATTTACTCTTCATAACATTGTTTTTCCTGAACACTCTGGGATTTTCAGAATGGTACACTAGTAATGGCTTCACTTTGAAATCCCCACTAGCATTAGCGCAGAACAATAGCGTCAGCCTGTCTTTCATAGGCTTATGTCCTGGCATTACCTTTTCCTCTTGTGTAATGAAGGTCCTCTTTGGCATTTTCTTCCAAAAGAGGCCTGTTTCATCACAACTGAAAACTTGTTCAGGTTTCAGTCCTTCACTGTTTATGTACTCCTGGAATTCATGCACATATTTTTCAGCCGCCTTGTGGTCTGAACTGGCAGCCTCACCATGCCTTACCACACTGTGTATGCCAGTACGGTTCTTAAATCTCTCAAACCAGCCTTTGCTGGCCTTAAATTCACTCACTTCACCACTATTTGCAGGCAATTTCTTTACCAAATCTTCATGCAACTGTCTAGCCTTTTCACAAATAAACGAAGTCATAAGAGTATCTCCTGCTAATTGTTTCTCATTTATCCACACCAATAATAACTTCTCAACCTCTTCCAGTACTGGTGATCTCATTTTTGTCAGCATAGTTACTCCCTTTGCAACAACAGCATCCTTTATTTCATTTTTCTTGGCCACTATGGAACATAAGGTTGTGTAGGGTTTCTTATACATCCTGGACAGTTTGGCCACACTTGTACCACTTTCATATTGTTCAATGATGGTTTTCTTAAATTCAATTGTATTTCTCACCTTCTTTACCACAGGCTTGGCACTAGGAGCTTTCTTTGGAGCCATGGTAGCTTATTTAGTACTTGCAAGCACTAAAATAAATGGAATATTATGAAATATTTCGCTGGAGCACGCGAGGGGACCTTCGCTCACTGGTAAACAATGCCAGACTGGCTGCCGCCCTGGCCCACGCCGTGCGTACACGTCCCGGACGAACTACGACTCACGAGTCAACCTATGAAAAGCGAGTCCATGTTTATACGAAAATATCCCTATGATTGGCAAATTTTACGATTGCCGGGAACTACAAAAAGCGGGGGACCACTGTACATTATTTCAGTATAAATACTGGTCAGAGAGCCCGTCGTAAGTCCAAGGCGTCGGTAAATGAGTACATCGCTAAGTAAGGAGAGGCTGTATTAGTATTACTACTATGGCATTAAGACTAGAGGGACACTCTTAGTGATTTTAATGTGTACCTGTAAGCCAGCACAGTGTGTAAGTATATTTAGGTACAGGTACACAAGTATTATTATCATAACACATATAAAATACCTAGGTATTAGGTTGGTAGACAGCAACCACCCAGGGACGTACTACCATCCTGCCAAGTGAGTGTAAAACGCAAGCCTGTATTTGTTTTACATGATGGTAGGATTGCTGGTGTCTTTTTTCTGTCTCATAAACATGCAAGATTTCAGGTACGTCTTGCTACTTCTACTTACACTTAGGTCACACTACACATACATGTATACAAGCATATATATACATACCCCTCTGGGTTTTCTTCTATTTTCTTTCTAGTTCTTTTTTTTTTTTTCAACAAGTTGGCCGTCTCCCACCGAGGCAGGGTGACCCAAAAAAGAAAGAATATCTCCAAAATACTTTCTTCATCATTCAACACTTTCACCACACTCACACATTATCACTGCTTTTGCAGAGGTGCTCAGAATACAACAGTTTAGAAGCATATACGTATAAAGATACACAACATATCCCTCCAAACTGCCAATATCCCAAACCCCTCCTTTAAAGTGCAGGCATTGTACTTCCCATTTCCAGGACTCAAGTCCGACTATATGAAAATAACCGGTTTCCCTGAATCCCTTCACTAAATATTACCCTGCTCACATTCCAACAGATCGTCAGGTCCCAAGTATCATTCGTCTCCATTCACTCCTATCTAACACGCTCGTGCACGCTTGCTGGAAGTCCAAGCCCCTCCCCCACAAAACCTCCTTTACCCCCTCTTTCCAACCCTTTCGAGGACGAACCCTACCCCTCCTTCCTTCCCCTATAGATTTATATGCTTTCCATGTCATTCTACTTTCATCCATTCTCTCTAAATGACCAAACCACCTCAACAACCCCTCTTCTGCCCTCTGACTAATACTTTTATTACTCCACACCTTCTCCTAATTTCCACACTCCGAATTTTCTGCATAATATTTACACCACACATTGCCCTTAGACAGGACATCTCCACTGCCTCCAACCGTCTCCCTCGCTGCTGCATTTACAACCCAAGCTTCACATCCATTAAGAGTGTTGGTACTACTATACTTTCATACATTCCCTTCTTGCCTCCATAGATAACGTTTTTTGACTCCACATATACCTCAATGCACCACTCACCTTTTTCCTCATGAATTCTATGATTAACCTCATCCTTCATAAATCCATCCGCCGACACGTCAACTCCCAAGTATCTGAAAACATTCACTTCTTCCATACTCCTCCTCCCCAATTTGATATCCAATTTTTCTTTATCTAAATCATTTGATACCCTCATCACCTTACTCTTTTCTATGTTCACTTTCAACTTTCTACCTTTACACACATTCTCAAACTCATCCACTAACCTTTGCAATTTTTCTTTAGAATCTCCCATAATCACAGTATCATCAGCAAAAAGTATTTTTATTATTATTATTTTATTATCACACTGGCCGATTCCCACCAAGGCAGGGTTGCCCGAAAAAGAACAACTTTCACCATCATTCACTCCATCACTGTCTTGCCAGAAGGGTGCTTTACACTACAGTTTTTAAACTGCAACATTAACACCCCTCCTTCAGAGTGCAGGCACTGTACTTCCCATCTCCAGGACTCAAGTCCGGCCTGCCGGTTTCCCTGAATCCCTTCATAAATGTTACTTTGCGCAAAAAGTAACTGTGTCAATTCCCATTTTGAATTTGATTCCCCATAATTTAATCCCACCCCTCTCCCGAACACCCTAGCATTTACTTCTTTTACAACCCCATCTATAAATATATTAAACAACCATGGTGACATTACACATCCCTGTCTAAGACCTACTTTTACCGGGAAGTAATCTCCCTCTCTTCTACACGCCCTAACCTGAGCCTCACTATCCTCATAAAAGCTCTTTACAGCATATAGTAACTTACCACCTATTCCATATACTTGCAACATCTGCCACATTGCTCCTCTATCCACTCTATCATATGCCTTTTCTAAATCCATAAATGCAATAAAAACTTCCCTACCTTTATCTAAATACTGTTCACATATATGCTTCAATGTGAACACTTGATCTACACATCCCCTACCCACTCTAAAGCCTCCCTGCTCATCCTCAATCCTACATTCCGTCTTACCTCTAATTCTTTCAATTATAACCCTACCGTATACTTTTCCTGGTATACTCAGTAAACTTATTCCTCTATAATTTTTACAATCTCTTTTGTTCCCTTTCCCTTTATATAAAGGGACTATACATGCTCTCTGCCAATCCCTAGGTACCTTCCCCTCTTTCATACATTTATTAAACAAAAGTACCAACCAATCCAACACTATATCCCCCCCTGCTTTTAACATTTCTGTCATGATCCCATCAGTTCCAGCTGCTTTACCCCCTTTCATTCTACGTAATGCCTCACGTACCTCCACCACACTTACATTCTGCTCTTCTTCACTCCTAAAAGATGGTATACCTCCCTGGCCAGTGCATGAAATTACCGCCTCCCTTTCTTCCTCAACATTTAAAAGTTCCTCAAAATATTCTCGCCATCTACCTAATACCTCCCTCTCCCCATCTACTAACTCCCCTACTCTGTTTTTAACTGACAAATCCATACTTTCCCTAGGCTTCTTAACTTGTTTAACTCACTCCAAAATTTTTCTTATTTTCATTAAAATTTCTTGACATCCCTCTCCCACTCTATCACTACTCTCCTTTTGCATTCTCTCACCACTCTCTTCACCTTTCTTTTACTCTCCATATACTCTGCTCTTCTTATAACACTTCTGCTTTGTAAAAACCTCTCATAAGCTACCTTTTTCTCTTTTATCACACCCTTTACTTCATCATTCCACCAATCACTCCTCTTTTTCCTGCCCCCACCTCTCTATAACCACAAACTTCTGCCCACATTCTAATACTCCATTTTTAAAACTATTCCAACCCTCTTCAACCCCCCACTATTCATCTTTGCACTAGCCCACCTTTCTGCCAATAGTCGCTTATAATCTCGCCCGAACTTCCTCCTCCCTTAGTTTATACACTTTCACCTCTCTCTTACTTGTTGTTGCCACCTTCCTCTTTTCCCATCTACCTCTTACTCTAACTGTAGCTACAACTAAATAATGATCCGATATATCAGTTGCCCCTCTATAAACATGTACATCCTGGAGCCTACCCATCAACCTTTTATCCACCAATACATAATCTAACAAACTACTTTCATTACGTGCTACATCATACCTTGTTCTTGTTCTTGTTTATTTCCTCTTATCTCCATGGGGAAGTGGAACAGAATTCTTCCTCCATAAGCCATGTGTGTTGTAAGAGACGACGAAAATGCCGGGAGCAAGGAGCTAGTAACCCCTTCTCCTGTATATATTACTAAATGTAAAAGGAGAAACTTTCGTTTTTCCTTCTGGGCCACCCCGCCTCGGTGGGATACGGCCGGTGTGTTGAAAGAAGAAGAACATATAAAATATGCTATAACTTTAAAAAACTTGAAATTTTGGAAAGTTTCCAGACATAATAGAGAGAGGTGCTCATGGAGAAAGTAAACAAACTGGGTGGCGCCGCCATATTAAAAAGACAGGTTGCCGTATAGCGAGTTTTGGTCATAATTTGAAATCGCTGTATTAGCGGAACACCATAAGGCAAAATGCCATAAAGTGGGGCCCTACTGTACATATAAAAGCAGGGGTACAATAACTACACAAGAGAAAGCTTACTAAACAGAGAGGTGTTTAAGGTTTCTCAACACCCTTAATTAATATAAAAAAAAATTACCATCAGATAACAATCTGTCTTTAAGAGAGAGCTTACGGGTTCTTAATGTCAGTTCCTGTTGAGCCGAGCTATGGTGTGTACAACAAAGTACAGTGGACCCCCGCATAGCGAACTTAATCCGTGCAAGAGGGCTGGTCGTTATGCGAAATGTTCGCTATGCGAATTAATTTTCCCCATAAGAAATAATGGAAATAAAATTAATCCGTGCAAGACACCCAAAAGTATGAAAAAAAAATTTTTTTACCACAAAAAAATGTTAATTTTAGTACACACAAACTGAAAAAGGCATGCACAATTACATGACACTTACTTTTATTGAAGATCTGGTGATGATTGATGGGATGGGAGGAGGGGAGAGAGAGTGTTAGTGTTTAGAAGGGGAATCCCCTTCCATTAACACTTGAGGAGGCAAGTCCTTTTCCGGGGTTACTTCCCTTCTTCTTTTAATGCCACTAGGACCAGCTTGAGAGTCACTGGACTTCTTTCTGTCCATAGAGCTCTGTACCTCCCGTTCCTTTACGATTTGTCTAAAATGGGCCATAACATTGTCATTGAAATAGTCACCAGCACGCCTTGCAACAGCTGTGTCAGGGTGATTTTCATCCATAAAGGTTTGCAGTTCAACCCACTGTGCACACATTTCCTTAATTTTTGAAGTAGGCACAATGGATTCCACAACTGGCATAGGCTTCTCAGGGTTAGCCCCAAACCCTTCAAAATCTTTCTTAATTTCCATACTAATTCTCACCCTTTTTACCACAGGGTTGGCACTAGAAGCTTTCTTGGGGCCCATGGTCACTTATTTTCAACAAACAGAACCGAAAACACTGTAATAATACGAAATATTCCGAGTGTATGCTTGAATGTTACCGCGGAGGCTAGCTGGTAAACAATGGGACAGGCGGCACATGTGAGGCTGGCCGAGGCCGCACATTGGACGCGTCTCGGACGAAGTTCGCTGAGCGGGTTTTTGTCTACTATGCGGGGCAAAATTTTAGCGATCAAAGCGTTCGCTATGCGGAATGTTCGCTATGCAAGGCGTTCGCTATGCGGGGGTCCACTGTATTTCCAAGTCACTTACCTACACATCCTGCTTGTTTGTCGTAGGTGTTCTCCTCACAGCGGTCACATCTGCGACCGTCAACATTTTCTCGGCACTAAAATAAATAATTAAACATGAACCTCTGTTTCATTATATGAGAAATAAATGATAAATCCCATGGAATGCTAACAACTAATTTTGTTTTAAAAAATAGTGCATCATAAATACCTAAATGCATTTCATAATTAGTGACTTCCTTTTGTATCAAATCATATATACTAACTTTAACTTCTTTGTATGGCTCATGGGAAATAAAATAAACTTTAATTAAAAAATTTATTTTACCTACATTATCAGGTATGCAATTTTAAGAGCACAAAGAGGCTGCCCTGATGCTAGTAAGGGCTCCTGATCCAAAGAATCAAGTATACCCTCCTGTTATTAGGATCAAACCTGATTACCTTGAATTCCCCAGATGTATGAACCTTCTAGATCCAACAGCACCTCATGAATGTAATAAAATCATTAATAATATTTTTTTTTTTCAAATTATTGTCCAATATGAACATTTTCACTAACATTATAACACCAAAATAAGAACAAGTCTTATTAAACATTTATTTTTTCACAAGAGCTTAACAAATGTTTATGGTTCTTCCCATCAGATCCTATCAAATGTTGATCATTTGGCTGAATTAGTCACATCCTGATTGAACATTTTGTTATATTAACACTTTTTACTTAAAATAAAAGTGTCAATTACAGGTTTTCCTCAACATTCACGAGGGTTAGGGGATCAAGAACCTCGCGTATGTTGAAAAATCGAGTACTGATAGTACCCTTCTCTTCAAACAATAACAGGAAAATATTCACAATCCATAATAATATATCAAACAGTATGATAACATAATGTAACAAACTGTGAGCTAATATCCTATAAAATCTCAAAATGAGACTTATAATGCCAAAAAAATTTTAATATACCTACCGGACACTGGCCAGTAGCATCACACTGAAGAGAAACTGAGCCAATGGGGTCACACTCACAGGCTTGGCAGCCATTACGAGAAAAGCCGTAGTGATTGGGCTCACACATGTCACACTTGCGTCCTGTTACACCTACTTGACAAAAGCATTGACCGGACTGTAAATCACAAGTGCCATTTAGTGCCCCTGTTGAGTCACAACCACATGGTTCGCAACCCTGAAACAGAAATGCATCTTCAGCCAGTGACCAACTTTTAACATGGTACAAATGAATTTGATTCAGTTATTTAAACATGAGCAAAATAGGGCAGTACGGTGGTAGACAGTAACTACCCAGGGAGTTACTGTCATCCTGTCATGGGAGTGTGAAAAAGAAATGTGGCAGGTGTATGAGAAGACTTCTGGTTGTTCATGTCAAATCTTTATTAGAATCCCCCGACAGGTGAAGCCTATAATGATTGAACATAATAATGGTATACAATGCCAACAAGTTGATAAGTAAGACACATGTGCAACAATTAGGTATCTTCATTTTGAAATGTTTTGCCTGAGCAGTAGGCTTCTTCAGTCGAATAAAGAAGAAGCAGCAGAAGTAGTAGAGACATAATCAGCCCATCACCCTTGAAGACAGTTTTGAGGTGGTCAGTCCTTCAGCCTAGAAAAAGAGTTCTGCTCCATAGTCTGGAATAATGTGAAGCAACAGCAACAGATTTGCTACACTGCCTCTGAGTCAATGATAACCCTCTTACTTGTACTACTGGCCCCTGCCTTTTCTGCCATCAAGATTTTCTCCACCTTAACAGTGTATGTCCCCATTTTGTTGATACTGCTTCATACTGTTTCAGACTATGGAGCTGAACTCTTCTTCAGGCACTGAGGGACTGACCAACTCAAAACTATGACTTAAGAGGGTGATGGACTGATTACATCTCTATTACTTCTGCTGCCTACTCTATATTTAACTGAAGAAGCCTACTGTGTAGGAGAAGTGTTTCGATATAAAGATACGTAACTGTTGCACATGTGTCTTACTTATCATTGCCTACAGTGCTTGTTGGAATTTTTTACCCTCAAAGGTTTTTACTTATTGCTATGGAATGCCTGGTCCATTTGGATTTCAATGGTGATAATCTATAACAAAGGGAAGGCTAATATTACTACTGAAAAGGGAAGGTGCCCTTTTCTCATTTTATGAAGCCATTCCTGATTTTGGTTTCTGAGCAAAACTTTGAGAAAACTGATTGGCTTCAAAATTTCAACAGTGGTGTATCCTCCTTCAAAGGAGGTTCACAATGTCACTGCCAATTTTCTTTTAAAATGGTGTGGTAGTTTTTATTGAAATAACTTTAGTGTGCCTCAACTGAACTGCTTGAATCTTTAATGGCTGAAGCATCTTATGACAATGCACCCTTAAAGTTTAGGTTACATAAGTGAAAATTTGCCAATTTACTCAAATGTTAAAAAACTTGGAACATTGTATACTGTGTGATAAATGGTGAATGCCTTGTTTGATCACCTTCAAATTTTCAGCAATAGTAAATTTTCCTAAAAAGAAAGTTCATACTGTTATTGGGTTGTTTAATTTTTATTAAACAAACTGCTGGTGCATCTTAAAAAGAAAATTTTGGACTGATTTTGGGCCGAATAGGTGCCAGTTTTACTGAAGAAACGGGGTATTTTATATTAAGGGTGTACATGCGATAAGTTTCAAACTTTCAACACTTGCTTTATGTCAGCATTAATGATTGTACTGAGATACCATCAACTACGATGAAAACTAATTTTTAACACAACAGCCATCTCGCACTGAGGCACAGTGACCCCCAAAAAAAGAAGAGACTTTTTTTTAACTCAGTAATTTATACAGGAGAAGGGTTTACTAGCTCCTTGCTCCTGGCATTGTAGTTGCCTCTTATGACATGCATGGCTTACAAAGGAAGGATTCTTCTCCACTTCCCCATGGAGATGAAAAGAAATAAGAACCAGATTTATGAAGAATATAGAAGAAAACTCAGATGGGTGTGCATACATGGACATGCAAGAAAACTAAAAATAAGTAAAAAATATGTTATATAGCAAATTAATGAGTTGCAAGCAACAAATTTAGTAAAAAGAGCTTATAGTCTGAATTCACTAAAGAAATAAACAAATGTCATATAAATGAAAGCTGGTGAGCTTACCACTCCACTTGTAATATTCCAGAACCCTGCCTCACAGTCATTACACTTGAGACCCGTCACATGGGGCTTACACTGGCATTGTCCGGTAACCTGATCACACACAGGTGGCCCATAACGCTCAGCTACAGTGCCATACGAGTTACAGTGACATGGACGACAATCACCCTTTGGTAAAGCCAAGGCATCACCATAAAATCCTAAAAATATAAAAAGGAATTAGAGTACATAAAATTACTCATAAAAGTTATAAAAAATCTTGTATATCATGTGTGTTACCTGTTTTCCATGCTGTTTCTCAGATATGCAAACCTCTGTAGGTTAATTATTTACTCGGTGCCCATACACGAGATGTGTAGCAGAAGAGAATAAGTGCCATCATGGCGCCAAAATCTAGGTTAGTGAACAAATTGATTCCTTAACATTTCATTTGTGGAAATGTGTAGAGATTCTATTATGCATCTTTAAGTTAAACTCTGAGTCCCATAATAAAATATGGTAATTTAACCCTTAAGCTGTCCAAACATAGACCTACATTCACATGCGTAGCTCTCCGAACGTAGATCTATTTTTTTTTGAATGCTTTCAAATGTAAAAAAAACGTAGATCTACGTTTGGAGTGCTATGCACATGAACGTAGATCTACGTTTGGACAGTTTAAGGGTTAAGCTTCACAGCTTCAGTCTCTCCCATGCCAGCATATTTCTTTACATATCACTGCCTTACAAAGAACTACTTTACAGAGCACTGCTTTATAGATCACTGCTTTATAGATCACTGCTTTACAGAGCATTGCCTTACAGAACACTGTCTTACAAAACACTACCTAAGGTACCAATTGTCAAGAAGATAAGCTTCACTCTATACCAGGGCTTAACTTTCATAAAACCATCCTCAGCGCTCACCTGGCAGGCACTGGTCACAATAGAAGCCTCCAGTATTGTAGATGCATTTCAAACATTCTCCAGTTGTGCGGTTGCAGTTTGCTACAGCATTGGGATCAATGTTACCATTGCAGTCACATGCTTCACAGGGACGAGGAGGTCCATGACGACCCTTAGGGTCTCCGAAGAAACTATCCGTGCACAGTTCACAGCGAGGCCCTGGAAATCGTATGTTCACATGCTATGAATTAATTATTTTGGATAAACTTAAAAAAATTAGTATTCTAGGGTGAATTTCAGAATGGAATTAAGTCTATTATTACAGTTGTCTTGTAATGATAATTACTTTTGCTAATTCACTGTACTACTGGAACATATAATGGAAATATGTATTGTCAGTCACTGTGGTAGCAACTGTTTATGCAGCTGTAATGTTCCCACTGCAACAGAGGATAACTCTATCTGTATGTAACAAGAGTATGAAATCTATACATCTTTAATATATAACAGAAAGATTGAGAAAATCTCCAAGATTAATTTAGGACCCAAGTTGGGAACTGACCTGAAAATATTAACCTGACAATACTTGAGGCTTAAAAAACAGAGGTGCTATGATTACAACATACAAAATATTCAAAGGAAGTGGCAAGATGGGATGGAAATAAACTGAATGGAAGGAGTGAGAACAAAACAACAACACAGATGGGAACTGACAATCCACTGAGGGAAAGACAGATAAGAAGGCCCAAGAGCTGGAGTTGAAGTAGAGAAAAAAAAACAATAAATATAGAGGTTCTGTCTTCTGTATCCATGACTAATAAAATGTATTATCAGTATTCCGACGTGAATATATTTAATTTATTATCGAGGTTTGAGAAAATGAGAGGACAATGGGGTTTGTAATAAATATCTTGATTTGTGAAAAAAATTTAATGAAACTCTTCTTAAATGGCAAGATTATGAATATCACAATAATGGCTTTCATCAAATGAAGTTAATTTAATTTATATTAACTATCTGCTAACAATATAATATTTAAATATATACAATACCAGTAAAAACTTACCTGCATATCCGGTAGGACATTCAAGGCAAACAACAGTGTCATCAGGAAGCTGGATACATGCACCACCACTAGGACAAGGACATGACTGGCAATCACTCTGTGAGCCTCGCAGAGCATTGCCATAGTAACCTTTAGCACAGCGCTCACACTGGTCACCAGCTGTGTTGTGCTGACAGATGCAACGACCTGGCAGTGGTAAAAGCACAAATCCATCCATTTCGCCCTTTTGATGAAGTAAAATGAATACCATACAAAATAAATATGAACTTTTTAAATAGTTATTTCAAAGTTCTTTTAATATTTAAATATTATACCCTCTCAAAATGTATGTAATAAAGTAGAACATGTCTTATTGGAAAATACTCTATTAATGTTTCTGAGTTATTAATGTAACAAAGTAGTGGTCTGTTGTGAGGCATAGCTCAGTCAACTGATTAATGCTAGAGAAACATTTATTCATAACACCAAACTGATATTCAAAATACTGGATTGCTTTTGAGGGTAAACATTTAATTAAAGAGTAAACAGAGCTCGAGGCCCGTAGCATGTGCTACTAGAATAAACCAGCAATGATCAGAAAGAAAGGTGGTTGTTATTAGCAGCAACACGGTTTTGGTGTAAATATGGCTTTAAGTATTTTGTAATTACTGACACTGTGCAGTGTGGAATCTACATAAAAGCAAATTCATAATTTCATGTGAAGGCTGCATCCATTACCTAGAAGGGCCACATGCAGCCCTTGGGCCACAGGTTGGGGACCCCTGGTTTACACCATCTTGGGTAATCATGAGCCAACTGCAGAAAGTGCTGGTCATGCAAATCCTACACTACACAAATAACTTGCACATAGCAGAACTTATAAACATTTCGGTCTGACTTGGACCATTTACAAGTCAGATCAAAATGTTGTTACAAGTTGATCCTATCTACTTGCATACAACAGCATATTCTTCTATTCATTGGTACAAGGAACACAGCAATCTATTCAGCGAAGGTCCTACTGCTTGAGAAAATACCGCACATTAATACATGTATTTGATTACGTAAACTTACATAAATATATATATTAAAGATCTTTTATGGTCCTGCTCAGAAATCCTTGTGACTCTAATCCTAATTGTGACCTGAGGTTGAAAACCACTGCTATAATCCAAGGTCACTGTATCAGCACTAAAAAAGGGCAAAACAAAAACTTAGCTAACTTATTTTTCACTTCTGAATTTACACACTAATGCCACTCAGTATACTATAGTTCATCAAAATTTACACTGATGTTTTATAAGCTATTACTTGCATTCTATTTTGTCCATTATATTTTTTATGGATTCTTGCTTCTCTCCTTCAACTTTCTTACCTATATATGCCTGTTCTATTTTTTAGTTAAGTGGCAACTGCTACATTTTATAAAAGCCAATCAAGCAAGATACTCTGTTACATTTTATACATGCCAGTCAAGCACAGTGCTCTGCTACATTTTATAATAATAGCCAGTCAAGCACGGACCATGGTTCGAGTCTGCCATCCAGCCTTCCATTTATTCACTGACAGTCCATATGAAAGAGACTTTACATATACATAGAAGCAACAGGTCATTAGAAATAGTGATAAATGTAACAACACGATTGCAAACAAATCATGGAACAGGTTTCAGGACTTGCTTGCCATGGGTTGAAGCCCCACCCATTCTATTATTTGATTAAATAGTGATAATAAGATTTTTCCTAGGTAGTAGGTTGGTAGACAGCAACCGCCCAGGGAGGTATTACCGTCCTGCCAAGTGATTGTAAAACGAAAGCCTGTAACTGTTTTACATGATGGTAGGATTGCTGGTGTCCATTTTTCTGTCTCATAAACATGCAAGGTTTCAGGTATGTCTTGCTACTTCTACTTACACTTAGGTCACACTACACATACATGTACAAGCATATATATACACACCCCTCTGGGTTTTCTTCTATTTTCTTACTAGCTCTTGTTCTTGTTTATTTCCTCTTACCTCCACGGGGAAGTGGAACAGAATTCTTCCTCCGTAAGCTATGCGTGTTGTAAGAGGTGACTAAAACGCCAGGAGCAAAGGGCTAGTAACCCCTTCTGTATAAATTACTAAATTTAAAAAGAGAAACTTTCATTTTTCTTTTTGGGCCACCCTGCCTTGGTGGGATACGGCCGGTTTGTTAGAAAAAGAAGAAGAAGAAGAAGAAGAAGAAAAAGAAGAAGAAGAAGAAGATTTTTAGCATTTTTAAATGTACTTACCAGTCTCAGAATCACAAATGTCTGCATGATTGTTACAGTCACAAGGAATACAGGAGGCAAAGGGTCCTCCACTAGCAGGCTTGTGTCTGTACCCTGGAGCACAGGACTCGCAGTACTGGCCTACGTAACCTTCTGGACAGGTACACATCTCTATCCAACTTGCCATGACACCAAATACACCACGTCGAGCAGTGTCTAGCTTGATATCATCAAGAAAGCCTCGCCCTGAAATATATAATCCAAGCATTAATTATTCTATCTATAAAATATAATGGATTTTTATTATTTAAAATATTAATTCAAACCATTTACTGTACTTATATATACCACCTTTACCATATTCATGTCTTATCTATGCAATATATTATGTCAGTATCCAGCCACAGTGGCACTGACTTCCCTGGAACACCTTCTAGGTAGCACACTGGCAAGCACTGATATTGCTACAGGCATTTATGGTCCTACAAACTACAGCTCACAGGTTCATTCACACTATACTTTCACTTCATTCACTGCTATCTACTTCCAATGCTGTATTTATTTCATTCATTTACAGTCACCTCTACAAATTTGTGGGATTACAACTGTGGATAAACTACAAATACAAACCTGTGTCTTCATAACACATTATATTGGGTTTATTTTTGTGTTTCAGAGACCACATCACTAATGTATCACTCTAATATAGTTAATATTGACACTGATAAAAATAACAAGCAAAAAAAAAAAAGCAGATTTAAGGGTTGGAAAGCTCATTGGTAAAAACATTAGATAACTGATCAAGCCTCCACCATGTCTTGTGCTGAATGACCCACATGGGTTTAGCACTTAGCATGGCATAAACCTTGGTAATAAATACCGACAAGTTGGTTTAGAAAGACACGTAAGCAAACACTATGACATATTTATTAGAAAACGTTTCGGTCCTGGTTAGAAGTGATCAAGGTCCCAGGACCGAAACGTTTTCTAATAAATATGTCATAGTGTTTGCTTACGTGTCTTTCTAAACCAGCACTTAGCATGATTTATTTATTTATTTATTTACCTCTTCTTCCAATCATTCCTGGTATAACCCCTACTCCTCCTTCCTTCCAACCCAGATTTATATGCTTTTTTTTAGTGCATAAAGTTGCATGATGCCAGACTCACCTTCATAGGTGTAGGTTCCTCGTATCTTGATTGCCGTAAGATTGGACAAGAGAGAGATAAAGTCGCGTGATGCTAGACGTGGAGACCAACCAAACTGAGAATTCTCATGGAGACGGAATTTATATTCTTGCTTCTGTTGGTGTATAAATTATTATTGCTTTAGAAATGGTACAATGAATATGAAATTAAAAACAAAATAAACAATATATTTATTAGTGTATAACTGTCAAACATCCAAAAAACTGAGTATAATTTGGGTTTATTTTTAAATTGTACACAAACCTGCTCTCCCAGTAACATACATAAATGTACAATACTTTTAAATAATTCTTATTTTTACATCAAATCTATTATATTTTTGTTCTCTCAAGTCCTGTTTTTACAAAATACTCTTTACTGAAGTAAACAAATTAATTACCACAGTGCTTGGAAGACTATTGCCTTGTGCAAAGATGGGTGCAGCGATAGAGAGCCCAGCTCCCTCCAAGACGATATCTTCAGTGCTAGCCTGAGGACCCAGTTCTCCTACATGCAGGAAGAATGAGAGTTTATGGTTGTAGCTAGCCCGCTGGTCACCAAGGAAGCGATCTGAAAGTAACAAGAAACCCCAGTTAATTAGTCACTGACACACAGCATGCAATATGCAGGAGTTATGACTCAACCCCTGCAACCACATAAAGTCGCGTGAAATAAAGTATACTCTATGTTCATATAAGAACTAAGCACTGATTGCAATTATAGTTCACATATTTCTGTCTCAAAATAAAAAAAAACATTTTATACAGATACAAAAGCTAACCAAGAAAAATTAATAGAAAAACAGGTAAGATGACAGAAGAAATGGTGTGATTTCACTATTATAGGTAAATGTAGATTCAGCGCATGTAAACTTTACTACCAATAAACGTGTGAGAAATCATTAAATGTAAAAAAAATTTTATGCCAAAATTATGTCCTGCACTGCATATCAGAGGAACCATGCAAATCATGACTTACAAACACGCAAGCTACCACAGTTACACAACTACAACCATACATGTAAAAAAAGTGTTAATAATAAGAGGATGAGGATAACCAGGGCCGGATTAAGAAGTTTCCGGCCCTAGGCTATTCAGATTGGCGGGGCCCCTTTGAGTTACGGGTAAGCGAAGCAACCCCTTCCAGCTTGGGGGGGGGGGGTCGGTGTGAGCCTGTTTAAGGTCTAATTAAATACATTCTGGCTATTTAGATTAAATTTAATAGGGAAAGTACATCAAGACAACCAAAACCATTTACCAACAGCAATTATAACTATCTTGTTAAATCATGCATTTTAAAGAGAATAAACTCAAGACAGCATAGTATTACTAGATTAGGCTATTAAAGTAGTGACATCATGTACCTATTATATTCAGCATAACCACTACAGCACTATTATTCCCTTTATAAATCACTGACCATTATTGTTATCATTGCATCATGCATAAGACTATCAAATCATATAAAGTCAAGAAAGTAAAGAATTGTTTATATTCACAGGCACTTCTTAAATAAACTTTTTTCTGGATTTCATATTGGTAAAATCATCAATTATATTCTGAAAATCAATATTTCTTGTTAGATCAGACTCAATGGTCAACAAGGCTAGGTTACACAATTTGTCTTGGCTCACTGTTTAACGGGGCTGGTTTTTCACTCTTTTCAAAACAGAAAATGAACGTTCTCCTTCACAGTTAGTAGTGGGAAAACACAGCTGTTCTGATGTAAACAAAGGCGTGTTGAGTGTTGCCATCTATGGTTAGGTTTATTTAATTTTATTTTATTTTATTTCATTATTTATTTTTGTTTTGATTAATTTTTAAAAATTTTACTCTCCAAACACTTGAACTTTTTAGGTAGGGACCCCTTTGCACTTGCACCATGTGCGCAGTCTTGGATGAGCCCCTGAACCCCTTGGACCGTGGGGCCCCCAAATGCACGGGGCCCTAGGCAAATGCCTAGTTTGCTTATGCGGTAATCCGGCCCTGAGGATAACAGCAAGAAATATCTTAATTATAACACCATCTCAGTGCCATGATAGCCAGAACTCAACCTCAGTGACTTTCAAAAACCCAAAAGAAGGCACATGTCAATGCTCGACCACTGACACTGAGGCTAAATACTAATGCTGGGCCCTAACAGAAATTCAGGGAGCAACCTGGCCTTGGCTCAGACCAGGCTTCATAAATTTGAATAATTTTTTTGTGAACACATCAGCCATTTCCCACCAAGGCAAGGTGGCCTGAAAAAGGAAAACTTTCATCATCATTCACTCCATCAGTCTTGTCAGAGGCGAGCCCACACTATAGTTACAAAATTGCAACATTAACACCCCTCCTTCAGAGTACAGGCACTGTACTTCCTATCTCCAAGACTCAAGTCTGGTCTGTTGGTTTCCCTGAATCCCTTCATAAATGTTACACTGCTCACACTCCAACAGCACGTCAAGTTCTAAAAGTCATTTGTCTCCATTCGTTCCTATCTAACACGCTCACACACAAAACCTCCTTTACACATATTATGGTAAAGGCAAGTTTTCAGTATATCAAGTGTGAGTAAAAGTTAATAAAATTTACTTTTCATCTTACTTGTTCATAAGACACAAAGAAAAGATAAACAATCCTGCCAGCTTCCAACACTATTAATAGGTTTATGTTTCACAGAATGGTAATACTTCCCTGCCTGAATATATCCTGCTAGGATTGCTTAACCTAATTGGACTGATGTGGTAAAGCAAAGTACACATTACTAGTGCTGTAATGGTTTTGACTAAGAACAGTAAGAGATACAGCCAGTGGCTAAAAGAGATTTTAAACTGCCTGCAGATCTACTTAAAAATTTCAACAGACATATATTATGGGATACAAAGCCATCAAATATGCAACATGTTTAAAATTAATTCTTAGGCATTGAAGATATACAGGAAATGAAGAGAGGAATGATAAGATAGATAAAATACAATAATTAATGAGCTATTGAGAAAAATTTAAGACCAGTAACACAGGTAAATCTGATAAAGATAGGTAGAACATGACAGACACAAAAACAAAATCAAAGAACTATCAAACAAGACTGAAGAGTTAGAAACACAGGTAAATAAATGTGAGGGTAGACTTAGAGGTTACATGTAAGGACCTAAGTGGTACATAACAGAAAAAATACACTGGTCAAGACCTGATGAGCCAAGCAAAGCTCAGCAAAGGGAGTCGCAAATCTAAGGCAGATGAAAGCAATTCAAGTGTGGTATACAATAAGGAGCTGAAGAGAAATAAATAAGATAAAGGGAAATGACTATCTTAAGAATCATAAACAATAATTAAGAGGACAATTACAAATAAGCCAAGGGTATTGAAAGAAGTAGACTGGTTAACCTATGAGGCTGGAATGGTTAAATGTTAAACCAACTTATTGCTTTATTGTGAAGTGACTCATTAAAGAAGCAATACTAGAACAAAACAAGAACATAATTAAAAAGAACAGAGAGAGAAAACATAAGGATTCTTACTGAAAGTCAAAACAGAGCACAGAAATTTAATGAACAGGAGAGCACATAAAAATGTCATTACATGCATATGCAAATTTCTCTTACAGACTTACCTGGTGCTTTAAAGTAGACCTTGTTTCTTCCTGGGGCAGACACTGCTATACTCTGAGTGAAGGAGTTGTAGTTAAGTGGCACTGATCTGCCGATGGACTCTTCTGCTTGCCAACGCTCTTCACCACGCACAAAGCCACTCTCAATGACACCTGCACATGAGGAACATTCTCTAAGTAAACATTCAATATTTTTTTTTATTATTTCAACACACCGGTTGTCTACTACTAAAGCAGGATGACTTAAAAAAGAAGAAACCTTACAAGGCTTATCTTCTTTTCACATTTACTAGCTCTTTGCTCTGGCATTTTAGTTGCCTCTTATGACACGCCTGGCTTGCGGAAGAAAGATTCTTCTCCATTTTCCCAGGGAGATAATCATTCTATATTCTTCTTCTTCTTTCAACAAGCCAGCCACATCCAACCTAGGCAGGGTGGCCCAAAGAGAAAAACGAAAGTTTCTCTTTTTAAATTTAGTGATGTATACAGGAGAGGGGTTACAAGCCCTATGCTCCCGGCATTTTAGTCATCTCTTACGACATGCATGGCTTGTGGAGAAAGAATTCCATTCCACTTCCACATAAAGAAAACATCCTTTTTTCTTTTTTAACACGTCAACCATTTCCCAAGGAGGCAGGGGGACCCAAAAAGAAAGAAAAACTAAAAAAGAAAGAAAAAAACTTTCATAATCATTCAACACTCTCACCATCATTCATACATAATCACTGTCTTTGCAGAGACGCTCAGATACGACAGTTAAGATGTCAATCCAAACAGCTAATATCCCAAACCCGCTATAAACATGCACATCCTGAAGTCTACCTATCAACCTTTTATCCACCAATACATAATCTAAGAAACTACCTTCATATCTTGTATACTCATTTATCCTCTTTTTCTTAAGATATGCATTACTTATTATTAAACCTCTCTCTGGTGGCCTGGTGGTTAACGCTCTCGCTTCACACGGCGAGGGCCTGGGTTCGATTCCCAGCCAGAGTAGAAACATTGGACGTGTTTCTTTCCACCTGTTGTCTATGTTCCCCATCAGTAAAATGGGTACCTGGGTGTTAGTCGACTGGTGTGGGTCGCATCCTGGGACACTGACCTAAGGAGGCCTGGTCACAGACCGGGCCGCGGGGGCGTTGACCCCCGGAACTCTCTCCAGATAAACTCTCTCCAGATATACACAGTTCAATTAAAGGTCCCCCCCATTTTCATTTACCTCTGACACCCTAAACTTACATACTACTCCCTCCACAACAATTTTACCCACTTTAGCATTTAGGAATATTCAGTGTATAAAATTTTTAATCTTAGTAGCAAAGCAAGGGATATGTTGTGTATCTTTATATGTGTATGCTTCTAAGCTGTTGTATTCTGAGCACCTCTGCAAAAACAGTGATAATGTGCGAGTGTGGTGAAAGTGTTGAATGATGATGAAAGTATTTTCTTTTTGGGGATTTTCTTTCTTTTTTGGGTCACCCTGCCTCGGTGGGAGATGGCCGACTTGTTGGAAAAAAAAAAAAAATACATTTGCACTGTACTTTGGTAATTTAAAGATACTGAGGGTTATATAAGTTCTTGTAATACACAGAAGAGACAAAAATACTGTGAACTTTAGATGAAAACTTTGGAAAATCTTGTTTCTGCTTTCCTGTTAGCTTACAAGCACAGTATTGTCCTGTACATACACAGTATTTTGAAATATCTTCTATTCTTACTGTGTACCAGTCAGTACAGAGGAAGACATATACAGTTAATTGTCAAATTTCCGTGCATTAACAGTCTCACAGATGCACATTATGAATAAATAACCTCCAACAACTCAAGATAATTTAAAAGAGACAAACTTGCCTTGGGCATAACCATCAGCAGAGGAGCAAATGGAAGAATGACCATAGCAGAAGCAAGGAGTGCAGCCAAACTCATTTTCACTATCAAGGTTGAAGTAACCAGGTTTGCAGTGGTCACACTGCTGTCCTTCAACATGTTCCTTACACACACACACCCCTGTTGTGGGGTCACAACTTGCCTGATTATCGCGACTACCTGCGAGACTGCACCCACAGGCCTTACATCCCTATGGTATAAAATAGTAAGAGTATTGTAACTTATAAATTTTATAGTACAGCACTATTGCATGTATAAAAGTATATAAAACCTCTTACATTAATTACACAGTATTTCCAAATAACTAAAAATAAACATTATTTCTGTGCTACTACTGTACATGTTGCTTTACAGTAATGGTTTCCCAGAATCAACTTAAGCACTCTTAGACTAATTAATAGGAAATTATTGTATTAAATTTACAGTAATTAAACACTTTGCTCTATAATTTAAAACTGGCTCAAGTACACAAATGTATCAAACTATTTTCAGAGTAATTCCAGGACAATTTTATAATTCACTGCAAATTATTTTATTTTATCTATTTAACATTTACATGTAAACCAAGTCAAAAACAAAGAAGCACTGTATATTCTATATAAACACTACACAACTATTAAACAAACCATAATGTTTATTAAAACAAAAAGCACTACTGAAATTAAGTGTAAGAGTTAAACAGGTTTGAGCAAAAAGGATAATTTTAAAAGTGATCACTAGATAAACACTATTACAAGTAAATTAAAGTAGATAACATCACACTCATGCATCTGACCTTAATTCCAAAAGCTCTATCCTGAAAGATTAAAGTAATTACACTGATTAATTCATTATTATATCCATAACTTCTTCTCTCTCAGTATTCCCATACCTGTACCTAGCTAACAAAAATGTAAATGATCACTTAGTAAAACATTCACTGCAATACAGAGGATTACCATTTAAGAGAGAAATCAATGAACACCATACAAAATTAGAACCAACATTGTCAATTCAGTCAAAATTATTATACAGTATCTTCATTTTTTTTTTTCAACACGGCCATCTCCCACTGAGGCAGAGAGACCCAAAAATGAAAGAAACACTTTCACTATCATTTAACACTTTCACTCTCACACATTATATTAACTTAGGATTCTAGCAATCTAATCTTTACCTATTCAATATGAACTAGTGTTAAAACCCAGTATTAAGCAAGAGATCTTTGTCATCATTTAATATTTAGTTCTAACACTAGTTTAAATTTGAAATATCTTTTGTACAGTGCTAGCCGCCTGGACCATGAATGGCTCCATGAGTAGTAACACTCTCGAAACTCATCAAAGATAAGTTTTCCTAAAATGCTATGCATACTATGTGTGTTTCAATTCTTCAAGCTTTATTTCTGTATAATACTTTAAAAAATCTGATTATTGATACATTTCCCAGATAAAATTGTAAATATCAGAATATTAATTTACTTATGTGTTACGAACCATCTAACAGCAAGTACAAGTAACATGGCTACAGATGCTGCCAGGCATAACACATTGTTCTTCCTCACAGATCTGTATGCACTCACATTTGCCAATACAGCCAAACTTCAATACAGTGCTTTATGATCAGCGTAATTTAACTATAGCATACAATGTTTTCAATGAAAGCTAATTTGTGGACAGCTTCGATTATTCACATTTCTCACAGAGCTAATTTTTATTTTGCCTGGCACACCATCCCTAACATTGAAAATTAGCCACTGGGTTTTGATCAAAATGTGCTCCCTGGATTTCCCATCTTCTAATCTCCTTTTCTTTCCAGTACGTAATTAATTTTTTATCAATGTTAATACTGTATTTGTAAATTAATGTTTTTATGGATCTATAAATTCCAGTAAATATTTTTACTAATCAGTAGACAGCAACCACCCAGGGAGGTACTACCATCCGACCAAGTGAGTGTAAAATGGAAGCCTGTAATTGTTTTACATGATGGTAGGACTGCTGGTGTCTTTACTCTGTCTCATAAACATGCAAGATTTCATTTATGCCTTGCTATTTCTAAACTTGCATGTACAAGCATATACACACCCTTTAGGCTTTTCTTCTATTTTCTTACTAGTTCTTATTCTTCTTTATTTCCTCTTATCTCCATGGGAAAGTGAAACAGAATTCTTCCTCCGTAAGCAATGCGTGTTGTAAGAGGCGATTAACATACTGGGAGCAAAGGGCTAGTAACCCCTTCTCCTGTATACATTACTAAAGTTAAAAAAAGAGAAACTTTTGTTTTTCTTTTTGAGCCACCCTGCTTTGGTGGGATACAGCTAGTTTGTTGAAAAAATAAGATTTTTACTAACATCTCAGAAAATGGAACAAAATATTAAAAGATTCATCTGTAAGATATATATCAGCAAATCCATATCTTGCAGTCAGCTCTTTTATGGAGCTCCTATAGAGCAATTTTTCATAAATGCTACTGAAAAAGTGCACTGAAAATTGACCACCATGTATTAAGAAGACCCTTCTATGCACAACTCAGTTTTGGATGTACAGTAATTTTTCAATCACAATTACAAACAAATGCACTATATTGAGAAGTTTTGTACAAGTAACTGTACTCTTAATGCCATTTGCATTCAAAAGTAAAGCCCTTGATTTAGTGGACTAATAAGAGAGAATAGAGGTCAGCAATGGCAACTGTTATGGATGGAAGTAATACTGTTTTGTTGTAAGGGTAAGAATAAAACAATTCTGTAAACAATGGGCTCTGTCTGTTGTTTCTGAATCAACTGATCCAGAGGATTTTGTTCTGCATTTCTTATGTCTGTTAAATCAATGTCCATTAAATACAGGCTTTACTGCATAAGTATCTTGAGAAAACCAGTTCAAATATAACTCACCTGAGGTCCAAAATCAAAGTAGTTCAATGCACACTTGTCACACTTGTCCCCAGTCACTCCTGGTTTACACTGACATATGCCATTACTGGCACACTGAAGAATGCGCGAACCTGTAAAGTTATACACAATTTAAGTTTGTTCCTATCTAAGGAGTAAGGGTTAAAAATTGAACCTGTAGCTGATTTTAATTTAAATTTAAAATGGATATACAAACAGAGTACGTAATATTCAGATTTTCCATTGAATATACAATGTGTGAATTATGTAGAGTATCTCTTGAAATTAAACAAAAAGAAAGTCTATTAAATTGTAATACATAATATTGTAACACAGTCTATGTAGATATCTTTGGAGGCTACATATCTCCAACAGGAATCATGGTGGCCCACAATGGTGCATGTCATACCTATCTCTATTAATTGCTCACCACTCGGTTCCAGCAAGGTTTATGATGCTATATTAAGTCCTTATTCATTTATGCTCTATAGTCACTGCCCAAATGTTGTAGTGTACAGGTACTAGCTGAGAGCTATGTGACTCACCATAACTTATGTGGCATCCAGAAACAAGACAATTGGGTAAGAAGGTGGAAATGAGGTCTTCATAGCTTCTAGTGAAGCAAGATATCTTTCATACATTAAAAACTAGCTTTCTACTGTGGGATCATGAGGGCTTATTTTAAAATAATATTGGTAACACTCAAAATATATAGGAGGTAACTGAGTGGAGCCACATCCAAGCAGTCATGAACCCACTGGAGAACCAATAAGAGTGAAGAGTTATTTTAATGACACTGAAAGATGGTGCCAGAAATTGTGTAAAAAAAGGATCTCCATATTCAACCAATGTGAGAGATCCTATGAGGCCAGAAAACAATGACACTGCATATACACAGGAACCAAGACAGGTAAAAAACAAACAAGCAATCTAGAATAATCACAAACACATTGAAACTGCCAGCACATACTGAATGATCTACCAGTAACAGAGCCCAAATATTAATATGCCCAGGAGAAACAACTGCCTCCTCCCTCCACTCATCTGTAAAACAAGGTACTCCAAATATTCATAACAAGTGCTAAAACAGATCAGGCACAGACAAAGGAAAGTATTTTTTTGTAAACCCAGCCATGCTAGGCTTAAGTGCAAAGGATAAAGCAGCAACCTTGACTGAGAACCACAGTAAATGTCTGTGAAATGATCTGCAGAGAGAGAGAGAATATGAAACAGAAAATTAAGTTAACCTATGATGTTGGTATAAACATATGTACATGGGCAAATTACAAATTCCACGAAAGAGAGAATGCTGATAGGAATAATCCATTGTCAGCCAGCAATTTTGGTACTCCAGGAAGAGTGGAACACCAGTCAGACAATGGTAAAGAGAACACACAACAGACTGACTTCCCTCAATCTCATCGAAGAGGCAGAAAAAGACACCAGAGAAGAGAGGGGCAAGGTGTGCATGTAGTATGAGGAACAGCAATTAGTTGGAGAGCAGGAGGAGGGTTGTAGGATGCCCCAATGCACATGTCAACTCAAGGACCTGTGGATGGGAGACCAAAACTTGGAAGATCAATGGTGTGAAATGGAAAGGTTCCAGGTCAATGGAAGAGCAGCCAGCAGCAGATACAGCCACAAAGGAAACAGATGGGCCAGAGGCCTGGAAAAACAGATGGGCCCCACTGATCATCAACTGTAGACAGTGGGAGTGGGGAGACTCTACAAGGTGACATATAGAAACCCATGCCCTCTTGATGGATGCCAAGGCAATCAACAAAGCATTATCTTGTTTTTGGGCCACAGCACAAGGAGAAGCATGATCCAACACAACAGTGCCCACATGTGAAGAAATGGCATATGCCACATATATAAGAATCCCTGCATGCAAGCAGTCAACACAACAATCACAAGTCCTGTATGATAATCAAAGCCAATATCAATCTACCAGAGATAATCAGGAGCAGCAGGAGGGAATGACACAAATCTTAAAGACATATGAAGGGCCCATAGGGGCACAACCAAATGCATCACCAGTTGAAGTATCCATAAACTGAAGTGTCGGCACAGTCAATGCATAACAAACTGGGATCTCAGAACTTTCCACCTGTGGACTAAAACACTCTGGTAGGGATCATCGAGTGGTAATGAAGGAGGGCTTAATAGAGCATCACAAAGACAGATATGACAAAGTCCATTGTAGGACTTCCCACAGTTCAACAGCAAAAATTACTATAGGAATAAGCAAAATTATAATAGAAAACTGACTTATAAATACAAAAAGATTAAGCATATTTTTAATATTATAGTTGTAAATATCTTAAGTTTTAAAGTTTCTAATGGTCCTTAAACACAATAACATCCAAATGTTACTATTTTGAACAAGATTAAATGCATGTACTCAGAAGGCCTCTCCATGGGCTATTCAATTCTGGAAATATTTTTTTATTTGCATTTACAATAAATTGTAATACTATATAGTAACGAGCAGTTTTGTAAGAGTTTACAAAACATACAGTATAATAATAATCATGGAACATCTGAGGACCTTCCACATCTCCATTTCTATATATGTACTTAAGTAGTAATGAGTAGCACTTTTATTTTAACTAATACATTTACTCTTTATTTCAACTAATACATCTACACTCTCAATGATTAACTGTAAATCCCTGTATGATACTAAATGAAGATATGACCAAAATGTTGTGCATGTAATGGCCAATGAAATTATTATTATTATTATAATCAAGGGGAAGCGCTAAACCCGTAGGATTATACAGCGCCTGGGGGGGGGGGAATGTGGAAGGCATTCAGGCTTAATTCGGGGAACTGGAGCACAGATCCAATTCCCTAAACCAAGAGCCCCTCACCAACATCAAGGAACCTTCCCTGAGGGGGTGGCCAATGAAAGAAGTAGCTTCATTTCGCTAAATTAATGTTAGTTTGGCTTAAAGCCTATCGACACATAAGGGTCATCAAGGCCACACATCACCTATTCATCATAAATCAAAAATATTTTAACCCCAAATATAGGCTCATTGGGATTAAAATACACTTTAGGTGTATATAAACTGAGATCCATATCCCTTCATATATATATGCACTCTTACTCTCAGTGCACATGCATAGAGATTTACTGTACTTATCAGACTATATACAAGCTAAAACTTCCCTAATTAAAACTAATTTTTGAATTTTATTTATTATTCTTCAAGAGAATATACTAACATACCATTCATTACAGTTCAGCAATGCATTCATCTTACGTTCATATATTACTCTGCATCGCTCAAGTTGGACACACGGTTGCAGCACAGTCCAAGCAGTGTCCACCAAGGGACCATCTGTATACGCTCGGTCAAAGTCAGCGTTGGAATATCCATTGCAATACAAGCTGTAAGAGAATTGTAGAATACAATGTACGTATAGGAACTTAACAGTCAAACTACAGTGTGACTGACCACTGACCATTTACGAGGATGCAATATGATCTCCTATAAAAGTTTTAATGATGGGTGGATTTATCCCATTGCAATTCTAAGTTTATAGAAACAAACTTATAAAGAAACAAGAAGGCATATACCTTTGACTGGACAAAACACAATAACCTGCATATGAGATCAATATATTATCTATAATTCAGGAAGCGCTTAAACCTGGAGGATTTATACGCGCCTGGGGGATGTGAGAATTCAGGCTTAATTAAGGAACTGGAGCACAGATCATTTCCTAAATCAAGAGCCATCACCAACATCAAGGAACCTCCTTAGGCTGCATAGGAGAGAGGAGCCTATGACGATGTTTCAGTCCGACTTGGACCATTTACAAAGTGTGACTTAGTAAATGGTCCAAGTCGGATCGAAATGTCGTCATAAGTTCCTCTCTCAAACAAACTTTATTTTTATAAAGTGAAGTACAGCATATTATACGTATAATTAGGGTGATTAACATATATAAACCACTTTAAATAAAGCCCTTTATTATGTAAGGCATTTCAGGCAGTCTTACAACTAAATTATGATTACCAGTACGTATATGACAATAAAAATACATAGTTTTTATTATACTGGACGTATTTTGTAATTCAATAAATTTTTTACTTATGCTTCATAATCAGTAATCTCAACATATATTTTAAAGCTGCTTACCAGGAAACCAGATTAAAGAAATGAGTAAACTAAATAAATCTGATAACATTGTAGTTGGGCACAGTATTACCAGTCCTCACTTCCCTTACATCCTAGAAACTGGACATATACCATAACAAATGTTTCCATGCCTCTTCCCCTTTCTTACAACAAATGGCTAGCTATATGGAGGTATTTCAGTCACTGTGTTATCACAAAGGTATTGAACATTTCCAATAACCTCTGTCCCCTAACAATCCTTGAGCTGTAGTTTCAAACCAGAGGCCCAGGTGCAACCAGAATTTGTAGCTAAACACCCTTAAGAATCCCAGGAGCTAGTGCTCAACACCTTCGAGAAACCCAGGAGCTGTTGGTTTACACTATCAAGAGGACAAAACTGAATGTAGTATCCCATGGCTTGGTTCACAAAGCCATGCATTCACTTCACACACTGAGTGTCCATGGTTCAATCCCAGCACGGGTGAAAACACTGGGCATGTTTTCTTACACCTGCTGTCCCTGAACACCTAGCAATAATTAGATACCAGGGTGTTAGTCGACTGGTGTGGATCACATTCTGGGGCAGAGGCGTCGCTAGGGTTGGTGTCACCCAGGGTAGCATCTTGGGTGTTACCCGGGATGGCATCTTGGGTGTCACCCAGGATGGCATCTTGGGTGTCACCCGGGATGGCATCTTGGGGGTCACCCGGGATGGCAATTGGGTGTCACCTGGATGGCATCTTGGGTGTCACCCGGGGTGGCATCTTGGGTGTCCACCCGGGGTGGCATCTTGGGTGTCACCTGGGATGGCATCTTGGGTGTCACCCGGGGTGGCATCTTGGGTGTCACCCGGGGTGGCATCTTGGGTGTCACCTGGGATGGCATCTTGGGTGTCACCCGGGGTGGCATCTTGGGTGTCACCCGGGTGGCATCTTGGGTGTCACTCGGGATGGCATCTTGGTGTCACCCGGGATGGCATCTTGGTGTCACCCGGGGTGGCATCTTGGGTGTCACCCGGGGTGGCATCTTGGGTGTCACTCGGGATGGCATCTTGGGTGTCACCCCCATAAAATCCAAGGGTGGGGGATGGGGGGGTACTGCATGTTCAGTAACTAATGTTTAGCAATAAGAACATTTAAGGGCTATAAAATGAACAGGAGAATACTTCTCAACTTTATTAATGATAAAATAAATAATCGTAGTAATATTGAGGAAACAAACTCAAATACCACTTTGAGTACAGCCAACAGATCCTACATTTATTCATCTTCAACAATGCCGAAAAAAAAAACTTGAAAAATAAAGAAAAACATTGCAATATCAGAGAAACACTAGTTCCGATTTGACCTTGAGTACAGGTAACATCTCAGTGAATCTCATCTTACATTTCCTTGCCTTCAATCCTGCAAAATTGTCCATTACATCATCAAAATCAATGATTTTCCCTATATAGGCTATATAGAAACGAAGGATTCTTCTCTTATGTTGGTGCAGCACTGTTTTGGGCATTAGTGTCACCTTTAGAGGGTCTATGGTGTCACCCGGGGCGCCCCCCCCCTAAAACTTGTCCCCCAGGACAAGATTTAAGGACTTCAACAGAAATAAGCCAGACAGTCCCCGATGACACACCAGCTTTATTGGTTTATCCTGGATGGTTAAGCCTCCCTCAGGTAAAATATCTGAACAAATCTTATCTTAACACCTGCAAGAAGCTCAGAAACTGGACGTCAAACCTGTCAAACACTGCTAAATTATGAGGAATCGGACAAGGGATTGTGAAGATATCCTCAAGAGGTACAGGACTGTAGCCATTTTAAATAATATAAACATCTAAAATTTGAAATGATTTGGTAGAGGCACTTTTAAGATATCCAGAAATCCCCCTTCCCCCAGGAGCTGAATCACTAATATTTAAGATTAAGTTAATGGACCTTAAGAGGTCCAGAACTTGCAGCTCAGTGTCCTTACGTCTCTCATTTTGAAATTTCTCATTATCCACCCGCTGTATAGTCCTTGTGGCTTAGCGCTTCTTTTTGATTATTATAATAATAATAATAATAATAATAATAATAATAATAATAATAATAATAATAATAATAATCATTATCCACCACGTCATATTTCTGAATTGTTATTATTATTATTATTATTATAATCAAGGGGAGGCGCTAAACCCATAGGATTATACAGCGCCTGAGGGGGAATGTGGAAGGTATTCAGGTTTAATTCAGGGAACTGGAGAACAGATCCAATTCCTTATATCAAGAGCCCCTCACCAGCATCAGGGAACCTTCTTTGAGGGGTCACATATTTCTGGAATTTTGCTGTATTTATCTGATTGTGATCTCTAAAATACATACTTGCATGCATTCTGCAGCCTGTGTTAGCTTCCCGTACCTAAGCAACTGAAGTTTGTAACTATTGAACATGATGTTATATTCATTCATTTCGATACCTTACTATTTTTTATGTATCTTCGAGCGATGCGATTTTAAAAATTAATTTTGGTGTCGCTGGTGAAGGATACAACGCTGTGACTAGTGTTTTATTTGTCTACTACAAGTATGAGAAACAGTATAAGTGGCAAACTCAAGTGAACAGAGTTCTAAAAGAACAGTGGCAGCTTTACTGTGTGACTGAGGGAACACACAGTAGTCTTGAGACAAACTACACAGAATTTGTATAAAAGCAGTTTTATTACTAACTGGTATCCTCACTGCATCATACCACATATCACTATACTAATGTCACATTTCTTTACATCAGATTACCAGATGTCACTATCATCGTCACAATTCCATGTGACATATTTCTAGTTACTGTATAACCATCGCAAAACCACAGGAAATCACTAGGAATCATTCCCAGGTCCACATGATTCATCACTTTACCAATTCTACACAACACCTCACTAGTTATCATTAATTACCAATGTCGCAAATCAACATGGCACTTCACTAAGTGTTTCTAGGTAGGAAACTGTCATAATGCTGGTGTCTGGTGTTGGGTGCTTCCACTGACCAGAGCCAGGCAAGCACCAGACAAGCCTGGTCCAAAACCAGACTCCGGGAGCACGAAAACACTCAAAACTCAAAGGTAAGGGCCTAGTTACTCACTGGCCATGTCCTGGCTACCTAATAACCAGCCAGCCTGTATACCTTCTACATGTACTTGTAGAAATTTATTAGTATTATTATAACCAACTAAGTTACGATGCCCGTGGCCTGGTGGCAAAAGCTCTCGCAACACACGATGAGGGTCCGGGTTCGATTCCCGGCGAAGGGGTGGAAATATTGGACATGTTTTCTTACACCGGTTGTCTATGTTCACCCATCAGTAAAATGGGACCTGGGTATTAGTCGACTGGTGTGGGTCGCATCCTGGGACAAAACTGACCTAATTTACCCGAAATGCTCTGCATAACAAGGAGCATTCTATATAGTAGTATGTCATTGATGTCAGCTATGGTCTGTATACCTTGTACATGTACTTGTAGTAAATAAAGATATTATTATTATTATTATTATTATGATTATTATGTCCCGTGGCCTGGTAGGCAACGATTTCGCCTCACAATGAGTATCCGTGGGTCGACCCCGGTCGGATAGAAATATTGGGAATGTTTCCTTACACCTGCTGTCTCTGTTCACTTAGCAGTAAGTAGGTACCTGGATGTTAGTCGACTATTGTGGGTGGCATCCTGGGAGACAAGACTGAAGGACCACAATCGAAATAAGACAGACAGTGGATTCAAGTTTGGCAACAGAGTTGTGAATGAGTGGAATAAACTCCTAGGTAGTGTTTACGGTGTCCCGTAGCTCGATCACTTGGGCACTCAGCTCACACACTGAGGTCCGAGGATCAATCCCCTGGAGTTTACCTGGAGAGAGTTCCGGGGGTCAACGCCCCCGCGGCCCGGTCTGTGACCAGGCCACCTGGTGGATCAGAGCCTGATCAACCAGGTTGTTACTGCTGGCTGCACGCAAACCAACGTACGAGCCACAGCCCGGCTGGTCAGGTACCGACTTTAGGTGCTTGTCCAGTGCCAGCTTGAAGACTGCCAGGGGTCTGTTGGTAATCCCCCTTATGTATGCTGGGAGGCAGTTGAACAGTCTCGGGCCCCTGACACTTATTGTATGGTCTCTTAACGTGCTAGTGACACCCCTGCTTTTCATTGGGGGGGATGTTGCATCGTCTGCCAAGTCTTTTGCTTTCGTAGTGAGTGATTTTCGTGTGCAAGTTCGGTACTAGTCCCTCTAGGATTTTCCAGGTGTATATAATCATGTATCTCTCCCGCCTGCGTTCCAGGGAATACAGGTTCAGGAACCTCAAGCGCTCCCAGTAATTGAGGTGTTTTATCTCCGTTATGCGCGCCGTGAAGGTTCTCTGTACATTTTCTAGGTCAGCAATTTCACCTGCCTTGAAGGGCGGGAAAATAATAGGACGTGTTTCCATAAAACATCTGCTGTCCATATTCACTCATCAGTAAAATGGGTACCTGGGTGTCAGGCGACTGGCGTAGGTGGCATCCTGGGACAAAATTTACCTAATTTGCCCGAAATGTTCTGCATAACAAGGGGCTTCCTATACAGTAGTATGTCAGTGACGTCAACTAGGCATGTATACCTTGTACCTTGTACATGTACTTGTAGAAATAAAGATATTATTATTATTATTATTATTATTATTATTATTATTATTATTATTATTATTATTATTATTATTGAGGTAAGAACTTTGTGTAGTTTTAAATAAAGGTTGGACGGGTACACGAGTGGGTGTGGCAGGAAGGATCGAGATGAATGGTACAAAATACTGACACGGTGGAAAAATACACACAAATGTCCGTATTTTATATCATTTATCTCCATCGTGTCAGACACTGCAGCAGAAATGGATCCTTCATATGTTCACACAGCAATGATAAATCGCAATATACTGAATTTGTGCATTTTCCCACGGTAGATGGAAGGAGTTAGACCTGCCTAACATGGGCCAGCAGGCCTGCTGCAGTGTTGCTTCATTCTTGTATATGCTGGTCCCTAGGCGCGGTCATATATGTAAAGTAGGTGAGAGGCGGAATGGTGAAGGCAGGTGTGTCCCAGGCTGGCCGCCTGTAGTTACCTGCTGCAGGTTACACCTTATATGGTGATCACCAGTGTGTCCAGGGCGGTGGTCATGTGTGTACCCTCGCTCTCTGTATGCTGCCTTAATCCACTCCGTCACCATACTGCACCGCACAACCATCTATCACCATACTGTACCACACAACCATCCATCACCACACTGTACCACACAACCATCCACCACACTATACCACAACCATCCATCACCACACTATACCACAACCGTCCATCACCACACTATACCACAACCGTCCATCACCACACTATAACCACACAACCATCCATCACCATACCACACAACCATCCATCACCACACTATACCACACAACCATCCATCACACACACTATACCACACAACCATCCATCACCATACCACACAACCATCCATCACCACACTATACCACACAACCATCCATCACCACACTATACCACACAACCATCCATCACCACACTATACCACACAACCATCCATCACCATACCACACAACCATCCATCACCACACTATACCACACAACCATCCATCACCATACCACACAACCATCCATCACCACACTATACCACACAACCATCCATCACCACACTATACCACACAACCATCCATCACCACACTATACCACACAACCATCCATCACCACACTATACCACACAACCATCCATCACCACACTATACCACACAACCATCCATCACCACACTATACCACACAACCATCCATCACCACACTATACCACACAACCATCCATCACCACACTATACCACACAACCGTCCATCACCACACTATACCACACAACCATCCATCACCATACCACACAACCATCCATCACCACACTATACACACACAACCATCCATCACCACACTATACCACACAACCATCCATCACCACACTATACCACACAACCATCCATCACCACACTATACCACACAACCATCCATCACCACACTATACCACACAACCATCCATCACCACACTATACCACACAACCATCCATCACCACACTATACCACACAACCATCCATCACCACACTATACCACACAACCATCCATCACTACAATGTACCACACAATCTATCACTACACAAGTTGTGTGGTGGTTAACATACCACACAAGTTGTGTGGTACATTGTGGTGAGTATATACAAGACTTTCAAGCGTTCCCAATAATTTAAATGTTTTATTGGATCTATGTGGGCTGTAAATGATCTCTGTATCTGTTCCAGCTCTATCTCTCATGCCCTAAATAGAGCTACAAACACCAAACAAAACAAGCCATCTGAACATAAGAATTAAGGAACATTGCAGCAGGTGTACTGGCCCATACAGGGTAGGTCTTTCTCAAAACCAATTATTCCCACCCAACAGGGACGATATTGGACACTTCATGAAATTCAGTGAGGCTTGATTAGTCATTAAGGAAGAAGATTTAAGAGGGCGAAAATGTATAGAGGCTGTCCTAATTTCTGTCAGTAACACTATCCATCAAAAGTCCGGAAATTACAATATATGCAAACTTCTAATCAACAGGATATTACCCATTCTGGAGACCCCTGTAACACATGTTGACAGACCCTTCTCAAACCCATTTCACCACAGTCGTACTACTACTACAACTACTACCCCTCGCGGCTTTCCACCTGACTTTTACCACTATATAAACTCGTTGTCTTAGTTATCTCTGTATTAGGACTGAAGAAGCCACTCGTGGCGAAACGTTTCCTTTAATAAATATCCTGAACTGTACATGTCTTTTCCACGTTCATTTTCAATGAAATACAACAGTGTCCTATGATATATCTGTCACCCATTTCTAAGGTTCTACTACTCTCTGCAGTTCAGACTAAGGCCAGGCTTCCCTGCTGACTTGTTTGGTCAGTTTTATGGTAAGAATTTCTTCATTTTTTCAAGTAAACATTAGGTCTTGTATTCGCAGTCGGGGCACTTCTGGAAAGCAACCAATGGAAATACCATCACCTCTGATTCTGTGGAACCCAAGTTTACTCTAGTAGCTTATGGCTATAAAAAATAATTCAATTTTTTTTAGCAAGATCCACCTTGTAGGATGTATATCATTGGCGCTATTTCGCTTGTTTTGAAAGTTTCCATTATCCATCCCGTCACCTTCCTGGCTGTCGTGACCTTGGTCTTATTGTGTTCTTTGAAAAAAAAGGTCAGCTAACATAATTACTCCCAGGTCTTGCACGTGTTTCTTTCGTACTATTTGATGAGCCTCTCGAGTTTTGTATACAGTGTCCCTTTGGAGTTCTTTATTCTTTCCATGTATAAGCAACTGAAACTGATCACCACTGAGTGTCACATTATTCTCCGCTGCCCACTGGAAAAACGGTGTTTATATCTTTTACATTCTTTTCTGAATAGGCACAGCTGGGAGGCAGGATGCTGGATTTGTTTATTAAACAAAAACTGGATACATCAACATCAACTATATGATGGCTACCTTGACCTTTGATATACCTTTGACGCGTTCCGAGAGTTTTCCTACTCCAAATCCCGGCCTTGGGACAGGCTCGTCTGGTGCTTGCTACACAGCGGGAGCAAAGCTAGCTATGTTTCCCTGTCATACTCACCACGTAGGATGGTCTTCATACAGTGTTGAAATCTGTCAGGCTGAACCAGGAGATTTCAGTAGGACAATGAGAATATCGTCAAGTGTTCCAGTATGGGTTCGTCAGTTACGACAGCTTCATCAGTTACGACAGCTTCAAAAGTTTCCTTCCAGCATAACTAAGTTACTATTACTTGGGAATTAGGTGTCCAGTAGCTCAGTTGGTAGCGTACTAAGCTCACACTATGAAGTCCGTGGTTCGATCCCCGGTACGGGTGAAAACATTGGGGCACGTTTTCTTAAGACACCTGCTGTCCATGTTCACCTAGCAGTAAGTAGGTACCTGCGGTCCTTATTCATCTAGCAGTAGATAAGATACTTAAGTGTTTAGTCGATTGGTGTGGGTTGCATTTTTTAACAAAATTAACACAGGATGCTTTAAATAACCAGGAGCTTTCTATATAGTATGTTACTGATGTCAGCTATGGTCTGTATAAGTTGTGTCATGTACTTGTAGAAATAAATATTATTATTATTACCATCTCTTACGATAGTCTCTCCCGTACACAGGATGCTGCATTAAGGAGGGGGGGGGGAGGAAGAGATGGGAGGAGGAAGGTTAAAGGGAGGGGTATAGGGGGAGGAGGATGAAGGCAGAAGGGACGAGGGAGAAAAGGAGGAACAGGAAGGGAAGTGTAAGACTCTCCAAGGCGCTGGCACTGAAGACTCATTCAAAGCTTTGACGCAAAAAATGTACAATGCTTACCCACAACAACACATTGACACAACCTCTATGATGCAAGACACAACCACTATGATACAAGTCACAACCTCTATGATACAAGCCACAACCTCTATGATACAAGCACAACCTCTATGATACAAGCCACAACCTCTATGATACAAGACACAACCTCTATGATACAAGCCACAACCTCTATGATACAAGTCACAACCTCTATGATACAAGCCACAACCTCTATGATACAAGCCACAACCTCTATGATACAAGACACAACCTCTATGATACAAGTCACAACCTCTATGATACAAGCCACAACCTCTATGATACAAGTCACAACCTCTATGATACAAGTCACAACCTCTATGATACAAGTCACAACCTCTATGATACAAGTCACAACCTCTATGATACAAGTCACAACCTCTATGATACAAGCCACAACCTCTATGATACAAGTCACAACCTCTATGATACAAGTCACAACCTCTATGATACAAGTCACAACCTCTATGATACAAGTCACAACCTCTATGATACAAGTCACAACCTCTATGATACAAGTCACAACCTCAATGATACAAGTCACCTCTATAATACAAGTCACAACCTCTATGAAACAAGTCACAACCTCTATGATACAAGTCACAACCTCTATGATACAAGTCACAACCTCTATGATACAAACCACAACCTCAATGATACAAGTCACCTCTATAATACAAGTCACAACCTCTATGATACAAGTCACAACCTCCATGATACAAGTCACAACCTCTATGATACAAGTCACAACCTCTATGATACAAGACACAACCTCTATGATACAAGACACAACCTCTATGATACAATTCACAACCTCTATGATACAAGTCACAACCTCCATGATACAAGTCACAACCTCTATGATACAAGTCACAACCTCTATGATACAAGACACAACCTGAACATTAAAATGGTATAAAATACCGACAGATTGTTAGGTAAGACACATATGCAACAGTTAGGTATCTTTATTTCGAAACGTTTCGCCTACACAGTAGGCTTCTTCAGTCGAGTACAGAAAAGTTGATAGAAGCAGAAGATACTTGAAGACGATGTAATCAGTCCATCACCCTTAAAGTTTTGAGGTGGTCAGTCCCTCAGTCTGGAGAAGAGCATTGTTCCGTTGTCTGAAACAATATGAAGTTGAAGTGACAGGATGGAGCCTTTATATAGTGCCAGGAGGTGAGACGTAGGTTGCTTTGGGAGGGCAGGTCCCTCTCAAACCCAGCCGTTCTCACTAGTAGAGGTCGAAGTTGATGGTCTGTACCAAGATACCCTTGTGTTGCAGTGTCTGACAGAATGAACATTAAAATGGTATAAAATACCGACAGATTGTTAGGTAAGACACATATGCAACAGTTAGGTATCTTTATTTCGAAACGTTTCGCCTACACAGTAGGCTTCTTCAGTCGAGTACAGAAAGTTGATAGAAGCAGAAGATACTTGAAGACGATGTAATCAGTCCATCACCCTTAAAGTTTTGAGGTGGTCAGTCCCTCAGTCTGGAGAAGAGCATTGTTCCGTTGTCTGAAACAATATGAAGTTGAAGTGACAGGATGGAGCCTTTATATAGTGCCAGGAGGTGAGACGTAGGTTGCTTTGGGAGGGCAGGTCCCTTTTCTGTACTCGACTGAAGAAGCCTACTGTGTAGGCGAAACGTTTCGAAATAAAGATACCTAACTGTTGCATATGTGTCTTACCTAACAATCTGTCGGTATTTTATACCATTTTAATGTTCATTCTGTCAGACACTGCAACACAAGGGTATCTTGGTACAGACCATCAACTTCGACCTCTACTAGTGAGAACGGCTGGGTTTGAGAGGGACCTGCCCTCCCAAAGCAACCTACGTCTCACCTCCTGGCACTATATAAAGGCTCATCCTGTCACTTCAACTTCATATTGTTTCAGACAACGGAACAATGCTCTTCTCCAGATGAGGGACTGACCACCTCAAAACTTTAAGGGTGATGGACTGATTACATCGTCTTCAAGTATCTTCTGCTTCTATCAACTTTTCTGTACTCGACTGAAGAAGCCTACTGTGTAGGCGAAACGTTTCGAAATAAAGATACCTAACTGTTGCATATGTGTCTTACCTAACAAGACACAACCTCTATGATACAAGACACAACCTCTATGATACAAGACACAACCTCTATGATACAAGTCACAACCTCTATGATACAAGGCACAACCTCTATGATGCAAGTCACAACCTCTATGATACAAGTCACAACCTCTATGATACAAGTCACAACCTCTTTGATACAAGTCACAACCTCTATGATACAAGACACCTCTTTGATACAAGTCACAACTTCTATGATACAAGTCACAACCTCTATGATACAAGACACAACCTCTATGATACAAGACACAACCTCTATGATACAAGACACAACCTCTATGATACAAGTCACAACCTCTATGATACAAGTCACAACCTCTATGATACAAGTCACAACCTCTATGATACAAGTCACAACCTCTATGATACAAGACACAACCTCTATGATACAAGTCACAACCTCTATGATACAAGTCACAACTTTTATGATACAAGTCACAACCTCTATGATACAAGTGACAACCTCTATGATACAAGACACAACCTCTATGATACAAGACACAACCTCTATGATACAAGACACAACCTCTATGATACAAGTGACAACCTCTATGATACAAGTCACAACTTTTATGATACAAGTCACAACCTCTATGATACAAGTCACAACCTCTATGATACAAGACACAACCTCTATGATACAAGTCACAACCTCTATGATACAAGTCACAACTTTTATGATACAAGTCACAACCTCTATGATACAAGTCACAACCTCTATGATACAAGACACAACCTCTATGATACAAGACACAACCTCTATGATACAAGACACAACCTCTATGATACAAGTCACAACCTCTATGATACAAGTCATAACCTCTATGATACAAGCAACAACCTCTATGATACAAGTCACAACCTCTATGATACAAGCAACAACCTCTATGATAGAAGTGACAACCTCTATGATACAAGACACAACCTCTATGATACAAGACACAACCTCTATGATACAAGTCACAACCTCTATGATACAAGACACAACCTCTATGATACAAGTCACAACCTCTATGATACAAGTCACAACCTCTATGATACAAGACACAACCTCTATGATACAAGACACAACCTCTATGATACAAGTCACAACCTCTATGATACAAGACACAACCTCTATGATACAAGTCACAACCTCTATGATACAAGTCACAACTTTTATGATACAAGTCACAACCTCTATGATACAAGACACAACCTCTATGATACAAGACACAACCTCTATGATACAAGACACAACCTCTATGATACAAGACACAACCTCTATGATACAAGTCACAACCTCTATGATACAAGTCACAACCTCTATGATACAAGACACAACCTCTATGATACAAGTGACAACCTCTATGATACAAGACACAACCTCTATGATACAAGTCAGTAAACCCATGTTAAACCTCTGTGGACTATCTTATACATTAAGCTGATGAGGCAATATAAAATAAAAATATCTTGATGTTTGTTTGTTCAGTATCCAAGAAGATCAACTGTCAACTAGGCAACCAAATCAATAATAGCAGTTGTAGAAATAGATTGTTGTGGCAGCCATGGCAGCACTGGTGGTAGCCAGCATAAAAAACTACTGATCCGCAGAGCTGTGAGTGGTAGTGGAGTAATACGAGTAGTTTATGAAAGAAAAGTATTAATTTATTATAAGTTGTTCACGTCTTCCATCCAGTTCCACAATAAATGCCATGCCATTTTTTAAATATGTTATGGAGTATTTTTCCACCCATTTTCACGTGGGGAGTGATAGAGGGTGGGGAGACAGCCTTCTGCTTTTCTATTCATAACTCGTACACCTAGGTAATACAAAACAGTCGTTAATCTAGACAGAAGTACATAGTT